TTTTTTTTTTTTTCCTATTTTTATTAATTAACAATTAATATTGTTTGAACGTCTCTGAACTCTCTTCCTCATATTCTTTTTTTTTTTTTTTTACTTTTAAAGCGCTTTGTCAAGTTTGGCCTTGTAAATAAACGAAATAAGTTCTTGAAAATGTTGTGGATTTTTTGTCGTAAGGACTTCGTCTATGTTATTAAATTTTTTAAAAATGTGAAAATCGTCTCTCAGTTGCCTGTATTTGGAGCATTCAAAGATTGCGTGATTTGGTGTATCTATGATGTTACAACTATTACACATGTTTGAAATGTGGCTATGCATCAGGTGTAAAAAGGATTTATTGTACGTGTATCCAGTCATTAGTCTGTTGATGAGTTTGATATCGTAGGGTCTGAGTCCATATTTTTCGGTCTTAAACCACGGTTTCCGTGCAGTAGCCGTAATGCTGTCGATTAGATCTCGGTCCCAGTTGATGCAGTTGTTTTTAACCTCTTGTATAGTTTCCTTCCATAACGTACACCCTATTTTCCTAATGGCTTCCTGGGGTGTTAAATCAACAGTAAGACCTTTGCCATATACTAGTGCTGTTTTGGCCGCTATATCTGCCTTTTCATTGACATTTATACCTACATGACTTGGTACCCAGTTAATGATTAGTTTATCTATTTCAGAGTTACTAACCTGGTTATGGATTTCGGCTATTAGAAAGTTTTGGGACTGCTTGTGAGTAATCATTTTGACTGCTGCCAAACTATCTGAGAAAATTAAAATTTTTTTCCATGTATTTTTTCTTGGCCAGTTCTATTGCTTGAAGAATAGCTACAATTTCTCCACTAGTGGAGGTGAGATTGTCGTTGATGTTGTATAGGTAGGAAACATTATTGTTAAAGTCATAAACTGCACAGCCGATCTTACCTTCACCAACAGATGCATCAGTGGATATCACTCTAAAACCGTCTTTTTGTGCTAAAGCCTTTTTTTCCGCATATATAGCCTGCAGCTGTATGTGAGAGTAGTTGTTTTTTGACATATTTAACTCTGAACCCCTAGTTTCTATTTTGAGGCTGTTTTTGTACTTTACATTGGTGTTGATTTTATTAAAGATTCCCCTAAATTTGGTGTAGGTATGACTGTAGCTAGAGTTTACCTTTTGACCATTAAGCAGTTCCGCTCTTAATCTAGGATTTAGAAACCATTGTTTGGTGAGTTCTTTTGCTGTTAGCCATTCTGCTCTTTTCAATGGAGTGAGTTCACACGCAATCGCATATCTGGCCAGTGTAGGAGTATTTGGAGGCAGTCCAAGGCAGCGCCTTAGAGGTTCATTCACTATTGTTTGCAGTTGTTTGTTATATCCCTTCGATGCATTGGCGTAACTGGTATTCGCGTATTCAATTTTTGATCTTACAAATACTTTAAAGAGATTCAAGGCTATATTCGGTACTGACCCTGCTTTTATCGTCGTTAATTTGGCAAGTAGATTTTTGCCTGGAGTTGTGTCTTTTTTGATCTTGCCTATATGTTCTTTAATCGTGGAATTTGCATCTATTGTCCTACCTAACCATTTGAGATTGTGTACTTGTTCTATTTTGTGGCCTCCTACCTCTATGCAATATCTGTTTCTTTTTCCTGCCGTCATAAGCATAAATTTCGTCTTACTGAGGTTTAGTGTTAGGTGTAGAGAGTTTAAAATCGCCTGAATTTCCTCAATTTTGGAAGCTAGTTTTATAATGGCTGTTTTTTCATCTTTATTGTGCACCACAATCGCCAGGTCATCTGCAAACTGGAAAAGCTGAGTTTTCTCTTCGTTGATGTTGTGAAGTTTAGCAGTATATATATTGAATAGTGTTGGTGAAAGGCAACTTCCTTGCGGCAGTCCGTTGTTTACTTCTATTGTATGTTTTCCCAAACTAAGTTGCCGTGATGCGAAAAAGTTATGAATCCAATCTGCAATTTTTGTGTTAACGTTGTGGTCTACCAATGTTTGATGCAGAGTTGTGAGATCAACGCAGTTGTATGCATCCGCTATATCCAGGAGGCAAACGACCACTTTTTCCTTGTTGTGTTTGCTGGTGGCCACTAGATGTAACATCTCATTCAGACACATTGTTGTAGATCGGGTTTTTCGGTAAGCAAAGCTTTTTGGAGGGATGATGTTTTTTTGTTCGACTTCTTCTGCTAAGGCGTCCTTGATGAGCAAGTTGAGGCTTTTTGCAACCACAGATATCAGTGATATGGGCCGAAAATTGCGAAAATCTTCTAGGTCACTGTTCCCTTTTGGTATTGGTACTGTTTTTATTTTTCTCCAAGTGTCTGGAACTTCGTTTTTGTTAAATTGGTTTTCTAGGGCTTTCAGGAATTCTTGTAGAGTTTCTACTGATAAGTTTTTCAATATTTGGAACGTGATGTTGTCGTGTCCTCCTGCTGTCGACTTTTTCTTGTTTAATTTAGGCAAAAAGTTTTCTACAGTGAAATTTAAATTTGTCACGTTCGTCGATTCTTGACTGTCTGTGCCTGCTGTGTGTCTAGTTCGTGTGGTGGAGCCTGTTCTTACCTGGTTTTTAATGTGTTCCAAATATTTTAAGTTGTCCTCAGAGGCCCATTCTTGGTTTGTATATTTTCTTCCTTTGACGTTGTTTATGAAGTTCCAGGCAGCTTTGGTGTTCGGTTCGCAATTTAGTTCTTCCACTCTTCTCTTGTAGCTGCTGCTCTTTGCCTCTTTTACTGCCTTTTTCCATTCTGCAGTCGCTAATCTGGACGCCTCCAGGTCCTCTATATTATTTGTAAGGTTCGCTTTTTTCCTGTTGGCCGTATGTAGTCTGAATAATTTGTTTAGGTCTTCATTCCACCATGCCTTGGGCTGCCATCTTTTTATGTTTAAATCTATGCTTACGCTTTCCCTGGCCTCTTTAACATCTATCTGCATTTGATTTAGGTTAGTAAACGTGATTTTTTTCACTTTATTAATAAAGCTACTTTTAGGGGTAAAAAAATTTGGGAGTTTGTAAATATCTTTAAGTGTGGTCAGAACCGGGAAATGCCTACTGCCTCCTATGCTGATTTGTGAACACTGCCATTCTAATTTCTCTTTTTCTAAGTTGGTGAAGGTAAGATCTAGTACTGATCCCGCATTTCTTTCATTACATACGTGCGTTTTGGTGCCATCGTTTAGACATAGAAAATTTGCGTTCTCAGTCTCAGAGCTTAGCAAAACGCCTTTAGGTGTGTTAATTTGATCGCCATACTTGATACATCTGGCATTAAAATCCCCTAGTAGGATAACATTTCTAAAATTACTCAGAAATATTAACAAGCGGTTTATTTCTGTTGAGAAATCGTTGAGTCTAAGGCTAGGCGGTAAGTATGCGTTACATATGGTTATGTTGGTGTTTAGGCTAGTGGTCTTAGCTATTAATACATCCATCTTGCTGTTATACTTAATTTTCGTGAATTTGAGTCCTTTTTTGAAGCCGATAGCTACCCCTCCATAACCATCCGACCTCGTCTTTCTTAGTAGGTTAAAGCCTATAAGATTGTGATTTGTTGTCGATTCATCGTGTGAGAATATTTCCTGAAGGCATATAATGTCTATGTCGTGCCTGTTATTAAAATGGTCTAAATAGCTCTTATTTGCCTTAAGGCTTTGAATATTATATTGTAGGATTTTCGTGTTCATTTGTGGGAGTTGGTGTAATCCTGTCACTAACTTTGACTTTGCAAATTTTCTCTAACAACTGTACTAGGGGTTCGTTTTGATCTATTTCAAACTTTTTAATGAGTAAGCTAACCAGTTTCTCTATTTCTGTCACTCCGTCCCACTGTGCACTTAGGAAGACAGGCTGTTTAGTTGTGTCTTTTCTTTTTACATTGCTCATTTCTTTTTCGGTATGCATGTTTGCGGGTTTGTACTGCGTTACTTGGCTATACTTCTTTTTTGTCAATCTTCGGTTAACTACCTGATCATTGTTTATGACTGGATTGTGATTGGAAAGAGTGTCCGGAAAGTTTTCCTCAAAATCTAACAGCGAAAAACGATTTGCTCTATTTTCTAAACTATACATGTCAAAGGCCTCTTTTTTTGAGATTTTTTTTATGGTCATAATTTCCAGCACTTTTTCTTCTTTCTGCCACACTTCACATGCCTTTTTGTTCAGTGAGTTGTGACCTTCATTCCCGCATAGAATGCAATTCTTGGTATTGGTTTTACAGTTGCTATTACATCCTTCCTCTTTTCCACA